AACACACCAGAGGTCATTACCATTATAATGCATTATGATGCATTATAACGAGATCCCTGTAATTATAATGCATTATAACGAGATGCCTGTATTAATTCACTGTCTGTTTTAGATAAATGAGGATGTCACTGGAGTGATCTGTATACCCTCGTAAGGAGCAGCAGAAGCCTGCTAATAGATATTGCTAAATAAATATATATCACAGATAAATGACGAGTATTAGTACTGTATGTTTTCAAGTGTTGAAAGATGATCAATTTCCATACATGACTTCCTTCAATTTGTATGATGTTCTGACTCAGCAAAAAAAATGTTATATCTAATGTAAGCATTTCATGCACAAAGCCTATACTAAAGTTAGCTTTCTTTAAAAAAATGCTTTAGAATCACCAAGGAAACATCAAACTGAGGGCAGAAGCTGTGATCAAAGACAGGGAAAACTAAACTAGCCTCCCCTGTGATTTCCTGTAGTTTCTTCCCTTTAGTTTTCAAGCTGTCGCCTCAGCCACTCTTACAGATGCTTCAGGCATGCAGAATTTCTAAGTAAATATAGAATGTTAGGCATGAATAATCATTAACAATGCCCACATTTTCAATTAGCAGGAGCCATTTAAAGGGCTGCAGTCTGCACTTAGGGCCCCTAGGATAATGGCTGACAGAGACCCTGTGGAGAGGGCCGGTGTTTTCATTGCGCAGACAGCTCCGCGTTACTTCGAGATGGCCTGGCTGCCTGGAACAGTGGGGCACCGCTGATGAGAGCCCCCTGCAGGGGTGAGGGAAGGGGGCAGGGCAACCGTGCACCATGTGTTTGGCTGCTACACACAGCACAGCTGCAGCTATGGTTGTATCTGACCCGCAGGTGCCCTGGATCGCTGGTCTTCTTGATGCATTCCCTTCCATATGAATGTTGCAGAATTGAGTACATTCAGGTTTTCTCCACAGCCCACGAAAATGTTTCTTATAATTTAGGAAAAATTATCCATAAAGTCATCAAAAAAACAAGCTAATGTATTTTTAATTGGAGATAGGGCTGCGCAATTGATTGAATTTTTATTTCAATTACCATTTTGGTTTCCAACGACTATTAAAACAAAATAATCAAGAGTAAACTATTATTGTGACGCAGTGCGTGCTCCCATCTTTGTCTTGTGTTATAAATCCATTACACCGCCTTTATTTGTTTCTCAGCTGAATTCAAGTTATTTGTAATGCATGATATTTCCAGCGTTGATGAGTAACTGCTCAAAATAACTGCGATCCCAATACTGACCAAAATAATCGTGATTATGATTTTTTCCCCCCCATAATTGAGTAGCCCTAGTCAGACAAGCAGTGGCTGTATAACATGTGACTTTTGCAGATTTCTGTGGAAAGAGGCAGCCCGCTCCAGCTTAATATGGGGAGCATCATTTGATTACACTTATACGTGACTCACAGACTGTGTGTTAGTCCTGGTTTGCCTGGTAATTTTATACATGCAGAGAAACCTTTTCTTCTCAACCCAGTGACTCAAGCAGCAGAAGTGGGTAAATTCTGCCTATTGACATCACTGGCATGTTTCCCTTTATTTCCTCTTTCATGTCATAATAGTTTTCAAGCAGCAAACTCAGCTACCTGTGTAGCTTCTCTGTCACTGCGCCAGGAATATAACGGTTACTTCTCTGTCTAATCCAAATCACCAGCTGAACAAATATATCAAAATGATATGAACAAAAGGCAAATAATAATAATAATAAGCAAATAAATTACCTCATATTAGTTTGCAAATCTATAAACTGCAACAGCACATTCAGGTACAATACAAAACAGTGTAATTAATGCGCATTCGACCACATGCTCTGACAATGTTGGCTGAATAAAAATCAACTGCTAAGACAATCTGTCTCTAGCCCAAGTCTCCATTTCACCCTGGTCCGCGCACACACACAGACACACATACACACACGCACACACACACAAGGGAGCGACATTACTACTGGAGGGATGTGCGATCCTTTCAGCCATCTGGCGCAGGCTTATTTACGCTCCTGCAGCCTTGACTGGAGATTCCAAGAAGCTGCAAGTTTAACAGGAATTGACTCCAGTTACCATCAGTTAATGTCCAGGTGTCATTTTTATCAATGGTTAGAAGGCTGCAGAAACCAAGCCCCCCCAATTCAAATCTGGACCTCGATTCCAAGTCCAGGCCTTGTTTTCAGTTCTCCCAGGTAGTTAGTTTAATAATGACTGATTCTGATTGGTCAGAGGCTTCACAGCTGGCTCATAGGTAAAGGAAGGCTGGAAAACCAGCAGTGCTCAGACCTCGAGGACAGCGACTTGAATAACCCTGGTCTAATCTAATCATTGAATTGTTTAATATTGTAAGCATTTATTTTATTTTAGAATCAGTACCTACTTAAATGATAATCTTCTATTAACCTCAAATTAACTAAGGTAAATAAGAATTACTAAATATTATTAAATATTACTGTCCTTTTTGTGTTTTTACCGTATCCTGCTGCTTGGAGTATTATTACCGAAACGGGCAGTGTGAAATTTATCCCTTAGCTGGGGATCAAAGCATAAGTGCCCAGTTCTCCGAAAACTACGGCCAGTGTTATATGCACACAAACTCGACCACAGACTCACAGTAGCTGGGACCAGAAGTATGAAGTAACTAATAATTCACTACGAAGAGCTCCGCACTCCTCCGTCATCAGCAAATCAGATTTTCTGCCCTAGTATCATTGTAAATCTCTACACTTCTGTTTATTAAAAGAAATGACGATGACTGGATCCTTATTGGCAAATGTTGTTCAGTCGTCAAATGAGATTCCTCTTCTTCATTATGTTTTTCACTTTGTCTACTGCTCCCCGTAGGCTCCTCCTCTACGATAATTTAATTCAGCGTAATCTAATTAGATGCATCCCTCAAAGATCCCACTGTTATTACAGCATCTATGCAATGGTACGTGACTGCATATTAGCGGTTCTAACAACTAAATCCTTGAAATATCGTTAGCTGAAAAACAACTGTGCCATCAAATTTTCCTGCAAGGCTACTTGTGAATCATTCAGCACCTAGAGTAGATGCACCGTGCACGCACACATTTTCTATAGAATAGGCAATATGCAAATATTTAAAAAACACTATAACATCTATATAAAATATGGGAGAAGCTGGTGTATGCATCCATTTGGAATTCAGTGCCTCTTCTCAGTGTAAACATTCATCAAAGCTAGTAGCACCGTGTGCCTTTTCTGAGGAACATCTTGGAATTGCCCCACTATAACCATCTCTGATCCTGAATTCGTGCTGCCAAGCCTGACTGCCCCCCCCCCCCCTCGCCCCCCCCACCCAACCCTGCCATCAGTTTTTAATAAGGGACACGTCTGTCAAAATGTCTGTGACAAGCTCAGTGCCCATCTGAAGAGCTGGATCTGCGGCTTGCTATTTACCGCGGTGACGCCTAAAACGCGCCGACACGGTGAGATGTTCTGCGGAGCGGGAACATTTATTGGCAAAGCATTGAATTATTCATGATTTCCGAACTCGTTTAATCAAAGAAAAATGAAGGAGGCTGCCAACACCGGCAATGTCTACAACGTTATGTTTATAAGGCATTTCCTTTTTATAGCAATAAATTATATCAAAATTATACAGAATTGTTTTCTAACCACGAGCAAAAACGATATAACGATCCTGGACAGTATATTATACAAACATCCTTTCAATGCACGCATTTCGTATGTATTCAAAGACAAAAATAAAAACAGTCACTGTGAATAAACAAACCAACAATTATCGGAGTCTGTAGCGAGTTCACACAGGTGATCATTAAATAGTAAACGAACAGGCATGACAAAAGGAGGCATTCAGGAAATCACTCATTTCATACCCTGACCATGTAATCCAACCCACACGTTTGTTTGATGGGACAGCTGAGTCACCATGGTAACCGGCACTTCCGCCAGATAGAACAGACGTGGCGAAGCGCCCTGGCAGCCCCAAGGTCAGCGGGGCCCCAACCCGGCTGATTACGGTGCAGGAATCGTGTGCCGGCTGAGCCCAGAAGCCCACGAGGCAATAAGGTTCTATGTTCCTTAATGCTCCGATTAGCTGCTCAGCAAGAACATTTATGGCGGCAATAATTTTGTGTCAAAAAGTCTGGACTTTAAATGACATCCTGAATAAGAGTACAGCAGACCTACCTACAGTAGCAGCTCCAAAGTACAGCTGACCCCATAAAAATGGCCAAGACAGCCTTTCTGATGAAACGCAAGAGTGAGGAAGGAGAATAAGACTGCAAAGCCGCACCCTAAACCAGCTCTTACTCGACCAGCGGCTACGCTAGTGAGTAGTGAACACACTTAATTTTTTTTCTGTCATTTGTCAACATAAAGACCTGATGTGTAATAGTAACCAAATCTGTTGACAGTTGACTAAGTAAGACATTTTGCAGACCACAGTGAAATGATAGAATCTCTTCAGTGTTTTTTCCCAGATCCATCACAGCAAAGTATTTATTGACAGTTAGTTGCCTTCAAAATATTTGTTGTATTATATTCTGGGCTTGCATTCATTACGGATGATTCACACAGACACACACACACACACACACACACAGCGGATGCGTGCAGAAGCGTGCGCAGACCTGTGTGCTGACCTTCGAGGAGGAACATTTGTGCCAAGCTAATACTGCTATCTCTGTTTAGGGTTGCTATCTTTGCAGTTTTCACACAAGGGAGAGTTCTTGCACCACTACCTAAAGTGCTTAAAAAGCATTCTGTGAAAGCTTTGTCCCCTTCCTGTCAAAGAGGACCACATGTCAGGGAATTCCACCTTACCTTCATTACCAGAAAGCAGACCCAGGAAATACGGGGCCTGATCCCAGGATGAGATACTACTCTGACTTTCTTCTTTCAGAGCATAGACAGAAACGGATCATTTAAAGCTCTCCGATGCAACTCCTCTCCCCAGTTGTTCCGCCCACATCCCACAAAAGCATTACGTGACTCACTGATGTGTACAGGAAGCCCTCGTTGTTCATCGCTAGGTATAGCTTGGTCTGTACACCTTGGATGGCAACCACTCGGAGCCCGACTGGAATGAGGTTGAATATTGCTGCAGGAGAGACGGAGACAGAAAAGGGAAACAGGGTCAGACTGAGCCATTCAATGACAGAGAAACACAACCCCCATTTCCCTACAGCTCTAGTTGGCACGGTGACTTAGTGAGCAGCACCGGTGCCACATGCCCCCGGGCAAAGGTTCAAACTGTGCCCCAACACGCCCAGGCACTGTGCATGGTCTCCTTGCGTTATATAGGTTTCCTCTAGGTACTCCTATTTTATTCGGTTATGTTAAGTGATGTCTCTAAATCACCCGTAGGTTGGGGGGATGTGTGCACCTGTACCCTCTGACAGACTGTTCATTGCCTCGTATCTGCTGATAGGCTGTTCATTGCCTTGTACCCACCGATAGGCTGTTCATTGCCACATACCCACTGATAGGCTGTTCATTGCCCTGTACCCTCTGATAGGCTGTCCATTGCCCTGTACCCTCTGACAGACTGTTCATTGCCTCGTACCCGCTGATAGGCTGTTGATTGCCTTGTACGCTCTGATAGGTTGTTCATTGGCTTGTACCCTCTGATAGGCTGTTCATTGCCTCGTACCCTCTGATAGGCTGTTCATTGCCCCATACCCGCTGATAGGCTGTTCATTGCCTTGTACACTCTGATAGGCTGTTCATTGCCTTGTACACTCTGATAGGCTGTTCATTGCCTTGTACACTCTCTTGCCTGGAATATGGTCTAAGATCCTGTTACTTATCAGTTGCAAGATGGTGGGATTAAAAAAAAAAAAAAAACCTCAGTGATGGATTTCTATTGGGCCTGAATTATATGTACTGAAATTAATAAAACTAAAAACTAAAATTAGAAATTATTAATAAATAAATATGCCCCATATTATATCTATAATTAATAGCAGTTAGCAATTCAAGATGTCCTGAAATATAGAGTCTTTTCTAAGATGCATTGGCATCGTGTCTGGCAACTATAATTTTTTAACATCCTTCTGCCCCTCTTTGAAATTTAAAAAGAAATGTGTCTCATTAGAAAATTCTCAATATTGTCAGTTTACATAGAAAGAATCATTTATGCTCAGTACTGCAACTGGTTTATATGACGTGAGGCACCGTTTCCAGAAATATGGTAACAATAAGACAACAGGCATCTTCAAGAATATCGTGTAACTTAAACTAGACTTGTACACATTCAATTGCCTTTAACCCTCTAAGCACTAACCTGGTTCTTGCAATAACCTCCTGAGATCCCACCCATTCATTTATGTCCATTGTAGTGGACATTTTGTTTTTGCGTCTATCTTTTCACTGATGTTGGGAAACGTATTTATTCCTGTTGTGCACTAAAGAGGACATGCTGTGAAATTAGAAATAAAAATAAATTTGAAAAATTCTAAATTGTAAGATGTCTTATTTCCTCCAAAGACAAATAACCTAAAATTGAAGGACACTTTTTTCCTTGGGTCTCAGGAGGTTATGATACATAGTCATACTGATGTTTGCTCATGCATTTCAACCAAAATTGAATTAAATTAAACTGAAAATGCTCATTACCAAAAAAACAGCTTTGTTTGTATTCTGGGGCATAAAGAGCAATCACATTTCAGAACCTATTTTATATTGTTCGAGTCAAATTTGGCAGATTTTGAAAAAGATGCTCCTTGTGGCTTGCAGACAAAGTCAGAGCAGATTTTACTCTTTACTTCCAAATCCCTGAAACAAAATCCTAGTATTTTCTGTCTCTCAGCATCCCAGCAGCAAAACCAAAAATGAAGCTTTGGACTCCCGTGATCAATTATCCAAAAGCATTAGGAGTCACAAAGTGAAGAATGTTTGGAGAATTGGAGGATGAGGAGAAGCTACGCACCAGTAACAGAGCATGCTGGGTGTGTGGATTTGCGTGCTCTCCCCGTGTTGTGGGGGGTGCTGGGGAAAACGGCTTAACCTTCCTCCTGCCATCAGATTTCAGGTTCACCTGTATATGTCTATGCATGTTTTATACAAGAGCAAGACAGGATATTAAACGATGAAATCACGTTGTACTTGCTTGCTGAAGGCGTTGCCAGTGGAAGGTGCACGATTGTATGTGTCAGGTGATGGACCGGAATCCCACCCAGGTTGCAGCTCGGCCAATTTCTGTCTGGGAGGGGCTCCAGGGCCCCTCTGACCAAGAGAAGCTGCTGGAACATGGATGCAATGTGTGTCTCCTCTATAATAATTCAGGTAGTAACCAAACCGTTAGGTGAACTAGAGTCGGCTAGATTGGCTGGCTCATGTCCAGAATCCATATCTTCCATCCCTGGTGACATTGCCATCAATACACAACACATCCAAAGGTTCACTCACTTTGTTTACTGTGACACAACCACTGTCCACAAGCTGTGCTGCACAACGGCCCAAAGTTCTTCAGAGCTTGTCCAAATCTATTCCAGCAGTGACAGAAAAGCAAATGTCTGGAACCAAAAATGTCCCAGATCCACCTACCTACCGTCCTTGTATGTATGTCCCAAGAAGCATGGCGCTGCCACTGACCAGCTCTACTTCATTAGCGCTCTACTCTCTGCGTGACCAACCTGTGCTCATTCAGGCGGCAGTGGGGCCTTACCAGGCTCCACCACATGCATCAGAACGCAGGAAGTGTTAATATTTTACGCCGTTGACCAGCTAAACAGCTGGATGGATCAGAGCTCTGCTAATGTAAGATAAACACCCTCCTCACACCACACACAGACCTACACACGGGCGCAAGCACACGCACCCATGAGATCGCAGACTAGGCTGGGGCGGTCAGGCAGGCTACCAAGTCTGCAGGAGGCCTGTCACAACAACAGCTGTGTCTCTTCATCCCCCTCCCCTTCCCCTCCCATCCATTTGCAATCGCTCCTAACCCCTCAGCTGCTGGCGCTGTGACCTGGTCACTGATTACATGCAGTAAAAAAACCTCCCTACGTAATCATGGCTGAAGGGAAAGGAGGTAAGAAGCATATAAAATGAACGGGGCTGCTGCAAACTTCATTTCGAAAGGATTAGTAGTCATTGGCCATTAGGGACATGGGGAGTGAACTCAATTACCTCAACCACACAACTGCTTTCATCAACAGAGAGGATGCGGAAACCGCACGCCTGAGAAAATCCATACAGTAAACATGCTCACAGCCGATAATATGTCGGACTGTCAGAGTTTCATAATAAGGTTCGGATCTGTGTGTGTACTCAGAAATCTCATCTCGCAGCACGCTCTCATCTGAAGGAGCTTTTCTTGATGGCTTCAGTTCATACTCAAACCTTAAGGACCCTCATTTTCTCCCAAAATTCACTCACATTAAGTAAGTAGTAAGTGTCACAGGATCATAAAATTAAGGATCTTAATTATCAAATGACATGACTACAGTTTTCATGACACCCCCACAGCACTGCTATGGCGCAGGTATTAAGATTATTTTGAACTGAAAGCCAGGTTGACGATAAAATACTGTTACCGTAACACTTCAAGAAGAGTTGCAATAAAAAAATGTAGGATATGTGTACCTGTAATGGGCACAGGCCAGTTGCGTGAATTGTGAGTTGTTGTTGTTGAGCAAGTGAGTAGGCTTTTCACATAGAACCAGAGAATGATGGGAACTGTGCTACTGTCACCATGGAGACAACAGCATCCCATTCCTAACAATGCTATTTTTGTGATGGTGTGAATGACTTCAGCCCCCCCCCCCCACAACGGTGTGAATTTTAATCGGCAGTGTTTCTGTGACATAACAATTTACATTAAAAAAAAACAAAAACTTTTATTGATTTTTTTTTTTTTAAATCAAAGAAGTGTAGAAACAGTATTGGTAGCACTGACTGGAATCACTGTATTTTTCTTCAATTCTGAAACTTATATGGCTGATTGCTCTCTCCTCTGATCAGGGAGGGGGGATATGATCCTGGTTTATTACAGTCAGCCCCAGGTTACAAGACGACATATGCTTCTTAAGTCTGACTTTAAGTCGGATTTATGGGTAAAGTGGAACAATGATATACAGTACAAAATAACAACAACAACAACAACAACAATAATAATACAGTCATAATAAAAGTAACTAAATTTAGCACTGTACCTTGATCTGACGAATCGCTGAAGCCATGCAATGTTTTCAGGAGCGTCAAAGTATTGTGCGCATTCATTATCATGAACTGTTGTATTTAACTCATTAAAAAAAATAGGCTTTATGGCAGTCTGTTCATAAGTAAGAACATAAGAACTATACAAACGAGAGGAGGCCATTCGGCCCATCGAGCTCGCTTGGGGAGAACTTAACTAATAGCTCAGAGTTGTTAAAATCTTATCTAGCTCTGATTTAAAGGAACCCAAAGATTCTTAAGTCTGTCTTTAAGTACGAGTTGTCCATAAGCAGGCCATTCTTAACCCAGGGACTGCCTATATTTTAGTACGCTCCATCCAAAATCATGATCTTCTCAATATCAGTCAACATTCAAATTCACACTCTTTCAAGAAAATGGATAATATACTGTACAGAAGTCAGAATACCATTTCTGTTTAGCACTGACGAGACAGGCCAATAATGAGATGAATTCCATCATCGCTTACTAACACTAAATTGCAACAATGTTCTTCAAAGAGTTCCAAGAAAAGTTTATGAACACAGTTGTAGGGAAGTTTATCATCTGCAGGGCAAAAGGCAATACAGTCACTGAAGTAGTACCATTCTTATTAAGTAATGGTGAAAGGTGCTGTTGGTTTGTAGATCTGGAATCAAACAGGCCACTGGATGTAAACTGGTTCTAGATTCATCCGGAAGAGAATGAGAGATTAATATGCGGATTTACGGGACTGCATCTCTTAGAGAAATTGATCGGGGGAGCAGAATAGAGAGGCCAGATGGCTTCCACGACAGTTGCACGTTCAGTGGTCCACAACCCATCCAAAGACAAAAGAGCCTGCGCACAGAATAACTCATTTGTCTAACAGAGGCTTACATAACATATTTTTGCAACTGTGTTATTTAGCTCTTCAAAATGGCAAAATTAAAAACACAGCGCAAAATCACAGAATCAACTTCAGAGCTTAGAAGACACTGCAGATTTGTAGCTACGCCATGAAGCTGGATAACAGACGACTCGTAATCGCATTATTAAATTGACATAATGTGTCACATTATTCAGAGTGATGACTAGTGTAACTGCTGGGTATTTGGTTGAATTGCATTGACCATAGTGTAGTTTAAGATTTAATGCCAGTAATATCAGCCTATAGTCTTTGAAGGCCGATCATAGTTTTTGTGTCATTTTTATGTTTTTTTTTTTAGAATAAAATTAATTTATGATAATTGTTATCATTATCTTCATGATACTGAGCCTAAACATTTACAGTATAAAAATATAAATCTCTATTTATATCATCATGTGATAGGCTCTGAGTTCCCCTGTGACCGTGAAAAATCGTTTGAAAATCATAGACTTTGCATATAGTTTGCATCCAATTTAAAAATGCTGGAAAAAGTACTCGATATTTCATACTTAAGCAAAAGTACAGCTACAAAACCAAAATGTTAATCAAGTAAAAGTCATCCAGTAAAACACTACTTAAGAAAAAAAAATACCTCGTTTCAAAAGTATTATTCATTCAAAGTAAAAAGTCCTATTCATTCAAATTATTGATCTTACAGAAAGCAACCTATCTTTTTAAATTCACTCAACACAGGTTTGAATATAGCACTACAAGTTACAGTGCAGCACCATAAGAGAAACTGAGTCACAAATTTTTATTTTATTTAGAAAAAGCAGTGAAACTTGCTGAGTGTGCTGACACATTTCTGCAAAATAACAATTTTTATTCTATGGAAACTGAAAGACTGATTTAAGAGCTGGATTTAATAATGAATTATAAACATTTCTCAGGCCGATAGTTTTAGACATCTTATAAGTGGTAAATGGGCTAACTAAAATTCTCATCCTCCACTACGGAAAATGGCTGATCAGTCAATGTCGATTATTTCAGTAACAAACTTTGAATATTGATCAACTTTAACTACTGGATGGCAATTTCAGTTTATTAACTGAATTATTGTGCATCTCCACACATGGAAAGAAATATATTGTATAATGAACTAAAAAAATGACTCAAGAATCGTGAAAAATATTGTGATTCATATTTAACGCAAAACTCCGCAGCCTCGGGTGCACTGCATGTAACAGCATTCTTTTTTAATTGGGCGAGTAACGATGGTTGTGCAGAATGTATCGGAGTAAAAAGCCATTATTCGACTCAGAAATGTAGCAAAAAAATGCAACAACTTAAAATACTCAAGTACAAATCCAGAAAAAAAAACCTATGTAAGCACAGCAATGTAGTATTTGTACTTTGTACACCTCTGCAATTGAATATACAGGTAAAGTATAAAAATGATTGGACACCTGTTTTCATGATTTATTTCTTCTAGGAGAAGAGCATGTTTTAAATCAGATAAGTATGACATGTCTCCCCCCAGCAGACTTACTGAAGCTGTTGTCTTCCTCCTTGGTTCCATCTATGGTTCCATCGGCCTGAAGCTGCAGATGGAACCCTTGCCGGCTGTACAGCTTCGTCACTATTCCCTTCAGCTGGGGCTCTGTGGACACAGGAAGGGTGGAGCAGGGATGTGACATCTGGAAAGTGAAGCGGAGACTGCCAGCTGGGCTCCTACCTGTCCCGGCAGAACAGGCTTTCTAAACGGTGCCAGTCCGGTGAACAAAGGGTTCATCTCAATGAGGAAAGAACAATGGTCATAAAACAATACTGAAGACAGCTCTTAATAGGACCCTTTGTCCATCTTCCAATAGTCTACAGTATGTCCCACCTTTCACACAAAAATCCTACTTCCTGCCTTTCAGTAGGACCTCCATCCATCTCTCAGAGGTCCTACATACCAGCTTGATACCACATGTCCTTCTTTAAGTGATTCCAAACATCCTCCTGTCGTTCGAACCCTAACCCTTATTTCACCACTGCCACTTTACCTTGAACACCTTGTTGTCCTACTCATATATTATTGTGTATCACATGTACACTGTATAATATATGTATACACACATACGCAGATGAGCCAAAACATTATGATCACCCCAACGTGAAGCAAATAATATTGACTATCTATAAAAAACAGCGTGTGTAAAAGTCTGGGATATATCAGCAGGTAATCTAACATTCAGCAATCGTAGCCGACACGCCGAATGCTGAATGAAAGAGCAGGGAAAAAGATCCGGCTGACTTTGACGAGGGCCAAACCACTATGGCCAGACGACTGGGTGAAAGCATATGTGAGTAGGTACTCACCAGGGCTGATTGTGAGCCAGCCTTGCCATCCTGCAGACGCTGTGACCCAGTCGTCTGGCCATAATGGTTTGGCTCTTGTCAAAGGCACTCAGATCAGATCCCTGCCCGCTTCCTCTGCATTCAACATGTTAACTACGAGTATTGAATGTTATATTACTGCCTAACATAGCCCAGACCTTGATACATATTTTACCCCTGTACAATGGCAGATGTATAAAAACAGGTTAGCTCAAAATACAAAGTACAAACCAAACAAATAAACTAGAGCTGGTAATATGTTGTCTGCGGTAGTTTACATTCGCTAATTATTTTGTGGACTTCCTGTTTCATGTTTTGAGAGGCAGACTCAAGCTTTTCAAGCGTCGACCTTTATAGATTTCAAACATGCTGTGGGCAGCGTAGCTTCGGTAGCTGGATTCTAGCCCACTCGCCACTATTGGGCTGATGGAAGGGCAGCCGAGCAGCCGGGCATCCGGGCATCCGAGCAGCCGGGCATCCGAGCAGCCGAGCAGCTAGGCAGTCGAGCATCTGAGCAGCCGAGCATCTGAGCAGCCGGGCATCTGAGCAGCCGGGCATCCGAGCAGCTAAGCAACGGAGCAGCCGGGCAACCGAGCAGCCGGGCAGCCGAGCAGCCAGGCAGCCGAGCATCTGAGCAGCCGGGCATCTGAGCAGCCGGGCAGCCTGCGCTGAAATAATGAGCCGAACGGAGGGAGTGACTGTTTTACATCACTGCTGTGAGCTAAAAACCAAGGTAATTTAGTTGCAATAATTTGCCTTTTTCAATGTTGTTCTTAAAGCAAATTTGGTGCCAAGTAATGACCTACAACACAAATAAACTAATATTTATAAGCTTTGGGAACAGTGTGTATATGCATTCATGAGTCACGGCCTTACATTTGTAATACGGTAGTGAAATAAATCAACAATGCCCAACAACTGCAGCAGCAGACTGCGGATGCGATTTCGTTTTGGGGCAGCGTGAACTGGACAGGGCTTGTTCTCCGTACGACCCCTGGACTGGCAGGTGTGGAGTCACTGGTAGGGATCAGACACAGATTTAGCAAGAACTAGCCTCTCACCAGCAGACCCATATGTGAAGGGAATTTAGGTTATTGCAAATGGCCCCTATTGGAAAATGCCTGGGTGTTCCGAGGGAACAGCCCATGATTGTAAAGCAGCACAACAAAGTGGAGCCGCCCATGCAAACACAGCAACGGCAGCCAGTCCTGCCCCGGGCCACTGGCAGCCAGTCCTGCCCCGGGCCACTGGCAGCCAGTCCTGCCCCGCGCCACTGGCAGCCAGTCCTGCCCCGCGCCACTGGCAGCCAGTCCTGCCCCGCGCCACTGGCAGCCAGTCCTGCCCCGCGCCACTGGCAGTCAACCCTGGGCAGCAGCTGCGGCGTGGAGGCGCCCTCAGCTCCATATGCGTGTTATGTAATGCCGCCTTCCTTACCCTGCTAGGGAGTGGGTAGGCTGGAGGGGGGGGGGATGGGAAAGCTGGATTTATACCTGGGACAGCTCTTCAGATAAGCTTGGAAGAGTAAGAGGTGTCAAGACAAACAAGCACTGAAGAAGCTCCAGACTGAACTCCGTCAACAGTGTGGGCAACAATGCGAGAACCATTACTTCGAGGAAAGCCAGGATGAAAGGTGAACGAGAAGCTGTACAAAGAGAGACACTGACAGTTACGGGGCCAACACATCTCTGCTGGAAAGTGCAGCAAAATCTTTCATACTTATCACTGGTTATGTAGGAAACAATGACACCACGTCAGACAATCACCTTCATCTCACAAATTTACTGCTCCACAAAACTAAAGAGGACAAAAATTCACCAGGTTATAGAAGCATGTTTATTTCTGCTGAACCTGGGACACTAAAATACGGTATTTCTCATCAATTTTTTTTTTCTCTTTTTCTACCACAAGAACCTCATATCTGCTCCTGTCTATTTATGATGACTAATCTACCTGACATTTACAATGTGGGGATAATGTGAACCACCATGAGACCAAATCTAGCGATATAAATAATAATTATTACATCCAGAAACTGAACAATGATTCAAATGTGCAGAGACTTTCTTTGCTTTGAGTTGCAATGGCCAAACATCCATAAAAGTGCAAACGAGAAGATGAGCTGATGAGCATGGTTCCTCTTTGTGGGCTGGGTTGCAGTCTACATGACATAATTGGATGCTATGCTTGCAAATTAATGTTGATAGAACCTGAGAATCGTACCACCAGCTGTGCTGTTCTCATGATTTGTGACTTAAGTGATAAAGATAAGTGGTTAGAAGATGGATGGATTTATATAATTAATCATGTGTGAAATATCACAAGGGTGAGATATTTATAAATAAATATATATATGAAGCATATTATGAACTTACGAATCATATTTGAAAATGTCTCCAGTTTGATGTTTTGAACGGTTAAATAAGGGTTACAATCTTCTTGCTTAAAGTTGGAAAGGGGATCACGTGCAGCCGATGATGATGGGGATGAAGATGACGGTGTTAATGGTGAAAATACAAAGAAAAAAAACTTATGGGTGTTACTTAATGAGGCGAATCAGATTTTTAAAACAAGAGCAGACCTGGTCGCCGCCTTCTCCGCTTCTTCGACCCAAAGAGTTTCACACGGGAAAAGACACTGAGTCGGCTGGGTTTCTCGCAGCTCCCCTTGGCCTTATTCGGGCTGCTAACGCAGCGGCAGGCATTGGATTTCTCCCGCTCCCTCGCCTGCCTCTTCTGCCGAATAAGGGAGCTGGCGATCGCTGCGGCCATTGCCAGTTTGACGGCTTTTTGATGAAACAACTTCCAGACGAAAATCTTTTCCTCTCCCACCCCCCTCCCGCCAGCGCGGGATTTTTATTCCCAGATTATTCCTATCACTTTTAAGAACAGTAATCCCGAACAGATCTCAAACGCCTAATAAAGTCATTGTTATAATTTACAAACAGCGATTCCACACGTAATGTTCTGATGTGTCACATGTACTTTCCAGTATGAACGCGGACTTAAATGTCTATGATGTTCACTATTATATTACATTTGCTTCTGGGCGTATCTCGGCAGCGATTCATTTTCTCTCCAGGGAAAAGGCGATCTTCAACAAAAAATATGGTTGGTATCAGGAATCTCATTCACACAGCTTTAAGTACACAAATACTCCTCGAACGAAGTGCATCGGCTTCAAAACCGTATGTTAAGCTGAAAGACACGCAAGAAATAAAAACCATCATGTTTTCCAGAAAAAAATTAAATAAAACGCGCTTTAATTTATTTCGCTGGATGCATCCTACCGGCATGTAGGTGTTATCTAAAGGCTGTTAATGCGCAACGTGGGAAACACCTGCTAACAGGTAGACCGAACAATTTATTTTGTCGCCCAAAAGCTGTAGTTCAAGAAAAGAACAAAACGGGGGTGCGATATATAGAGAGAAAAGAAAAAGGCAAATTAGTGACCGAAAAAATCATTCCGCCAGGGTAAAATATATATATATTGAGTAAACTGAAGATGAGAAATAGTAAATGTCAGAAGGAACAATGTCCTCTTCACGTTTTCTTGTTTGGATTTTAAGATAAAATCAGTCAATTTGGCTATAGAGACGACGAGTAGTCTTCAACAGGAAAACACGCATCTTCTGTATGAGCATGATACCCCCGCTGCAGGTTCCTAAGCGGCTGCTAACAGCGTCAGCCTAAGTCCGGGCGTAACGCGATCAGCAAACTTATTAGTCGTTGTGAAGCGAGAAGAAATTAAAAGAAGAACGGAAGAGGGGAAAAAAAGTCGAAGACGTTTTTTTCTTACGCATTATTTACATCTCTGAATGCCGAGCATCTGGCCGGGATTGAGCGGTGGGAGGAAGCGCGGCTTCCTAAGCCAGCCGGGTCAGTCTCCTAGGCAGAGACGCGAATGATCGCCGCGGTTCGCACTAGCAGATATATCCAGATGAGAGCGACACGTATGCTGGAGGCGCCTCTGCGTGTCCTTAAGTCAGAAGTCAGGCAGCTGTGGCAGCCCGCTGGTACCAGCTCGCACTTGTTCCCTCTGTTCTCGGGGAGATAGTGACAGACACCCAAACAAACGTGACCGTGGTCATCAAGCAGGCTACCTGGGACGTGCTGGCTCTCCCGAAGTCTGATCGGTTTTATGACAGGCTCCTCCGCATGTCGGCGTCACGGCGATAAGATCACACAGCGCGCATGCAACAGATGAATGGTGAAGTGACCGTGAAGAAAAAATGACGTCTCTTTTATACCCTATAGAGCCACCGCCCGTGCCAGGTACTCTACATGAAGAACGACATGTGCAAACGCATGGGAAGCTTTGTCTGCGTGTGTTCTCTCCCAGTCCTGTTTTGCTTATGCAGATCCAGTGCGGGGGGGGGGGGGGGGGGGGGGGGGGACGGAGGACGGTGCACGATCGAGTTATGTATCATGTATATGTGATGCACTGGAGGTTCCGTTTTCTTAGATATCATTAAATATGTACTTAATTATTCTGTAGTCTGTGTTTTTTATAGTGTGCTGTTAAGGGAAAATGCGATTTTGGAAGAGACCAGTCTCCTGTCCGTTTGCTGGTGGCACTCCAGATGGAAAATGTCTGGCACCCGCACGCATGTTTATAGACACGCGCCGCTGCCCACCTACATTATGAACCAAACGTTCAAAACGTTTATTTCTTTCTGTGTCGTCGGAATCATGTCAGTATTTTTTGACAGAGTACTTTGAGGGCTGCCATCACATTTCTACATTCCTATTCTTATTTGAAAAGACAGATCTGATCTGTCCAGCACCTAAAGACGCCACTTCCAGCCTTAATATCAGCGAAGCATGTCGCCACTCAATTTACCGTCAGGCAATTTTCAATAGTGAGCTAGTTATTACTCGTTTCAGATACATATATTTTTCATGTCTCGCCCATTGACGACTGGAAATATGGCATCCACAGTAATATTGTACTACCTAACTGCACCACCCAGTTAAACCCCATGATACCTTCTTAATTTACGGGTCGTTAGTTTTTAGAAGGGAAGCGGTTAATGACTGTACACACGCGAAACTGGTGCAGGGTAGTAAAATATAACAAGAACTGTTAATTTAACAAAAACTAACAAAATTGTAGGACTGAACATAACCTACACCTGCACATTTACATTTCTACACCTTTTAAGAGACGCACTTTGTTTTTGTTGACTTTTAAGTGCATGACATGGCAGTAATTCTTGGTACAGTCTATATATTCAACGTGCAGGGCGTGTACAGGAGGCGATGATACATTAAAGTATTAAGGAGTGTACAGGGGCGGAGTAGGGGGGCATTACAAGAAAAGATACCCCTAAAAACCTGAACATTTATTACACTTTCAGAAAATGGCAGAAAATTTACTCTGCGGACCAAAGATTCCTATTCGTAGCAAACCGTTATTGGACATTTACAGCAACAGTATCCAACTATGAGTGACTACACAATTAATAAATTAGCTGAAAATTGACTCTACTTACTAAAATGATAATCCATAGAGGTATTACGCCGTCTTAAACTTTAAGAATGTTGGACTATGATTTTACTTACTTAGCCTCTTGAGCAAGTGACTAGTCTCTGCAAGCTCATTAAAGTCCCAATAAGAGACCAAGGATAAGAATGCGTCCCTCTGTAGACATGATAATGCATCAATGTCGGCACTGAGGAACATGCGTAGCACTCATCTCTCTTTCATTTTTTATTTTCTCAATTAAGAACAGTATGTTAATAAGGCTAGAATGATTTAGGCTTAAGTGACATACTGTACGCAAAATCACATGTGTTAGCTAAATAGCCACTTCGCTCTCTCGCTGCTGCTACTGAAGTCGTGACCCAAGGCAGTGCTGTACAGTTAACAAGCTACAGCTTTTCTCACCTGTTTTATATAAATCTGAAATTTTCGTGCATTTCGCTGTATCCTCCTCCACTGCCCTTTTCGCCTTATCCTTGCTTTCTCAGTATCACCTTCTTCTTTTCTTTTCAGCTTGCCATCCATGCAAAATGCAATTTAGCTCCACGCAAAGCAGGTTTGTGCCATTTCGGGAGGGGCCGTCACCTTGTCTCTGAGATGGACACTAGTGTGAAGCGGGTCACATCACATCGGCGGGGGTCATCTTGTCATTGATTTACCGCACACATATGCACAATTTGGGAAGGTGTGCAATATTCTTATGCAATATGACTACATTATCAGTAGTCCATGATATCAAACAAGTAACCTGGTTTCAGTACCTGACAGGAACTAACCAGCGATTATCGCCTTTGTTGGGGATGTAGGCTTATGCCGCGTTCGATTTACCCTCCGGGGTTGAAAATCGGTGCTGAGAATGGTGTCACACATGAGTTAACTGTGTTCCAGTATGGAAAGTCGGAAAGCCATTTAGCAATACCAGGGACCTGTTTCAAAATGCAGGGTTTCTTGCTTAGCCGGATAATTTGTCGGATTTAACGTACCCCAGTTTAAATGGCCCTTAATCTTTGTTCACTTACATTTAACCCAGACTACCATAAATCCGACAAGTTATCCAGCTAAACAAGAAATCCTACTTTCTGAAATAGGCCTGAGTTCTAGTCTGGTTAATTGTCTGCCATTGTTAGCAATGTCAGTTGATAACCACACATTATGTGGAATTTTGTGCATAGAAACACCGTAGCAACATGTCCACAGATAGCGGTTGGACAGTACTGTGCGTACGACTGATGTAATGAGGCATTAATAAGACATAAGTGCTAATAAACAATATATAACTACATCTTTAAGTTCTGTTGATAAAGGGCGCAGCCATCTTGCCTTCGGAGGTCGGGGTTGCAGAGGTGCCGCCGACTTTCTGAGTCAGAACTCTGATTTCAGGGGCCATTCCAGTTAAAATTTCTGAGTAGGAGCTCAGAAAATAAAACTTCCGAGTTTAAATGGAACACAGCATTTGGCTACACACAAAGCAAGATAACAGAAATGTTGTGGCTTTCATTTTAGCTATCTGGGGCCTGTTTCAGAAAGCAAGATTTCTTGCTTAGCAGCACAACATGTTGGATTTAAGGTACCCCAGCTTAAATGGACATTTAGCCCTGACTACCTTAAATCTGTCAAATCCGGCTAAGTAAGAAACCCTGCTTTCTGAAACAAGCCCCTATAGCCAACGTTTTCAAAGCAGTTTTAAGAAAACATTGGCAGCTTCTTTGCCATTGGTAGGCAAACGGCATAATACTTTCTGCAGTGGGAGGCAGTGTAAAAAGTTTGTGAGCCACAGCTTTATACAGCCCGCGACATGGTTTTATATGATCATTAAATCCAGCCCGCCGATCGATCGTCTTCCACAGGAACTGAAAAAACAATGCCCAGCACTGCTAAACAGCGCCCTCCCCAGGCGACATGTTGTAACGCTGGTTATCTGTATATCCTGTTTTCATGCTTTCATGCGTTACATTTGCTCAGTGCCACACGTGTGTGTGTTTGCTGTGATGTTCAACGACTCGATTTTATCGTTCATTGGGATATTTCTACATTAAAACAACATATATTGTTTTTAGACATCACCCAGCCCGGAAACATAACCGTCCCATGCGGAAATCCCCAGGCACTCCGGGTATCCGCTCCAGCCCAGAAACATAACCGTCCCATGCGGAAATCCCCAGGTACTCTGGGTACCCGCTCCAGCCCGGAAACATAACCGTCCCATGCGGAAATCCCCAGGCACTCCGGGTATCCGGTCCAGCCCAGAAACATAACCGTCCCATGCGGAAATCCCCGGGTACTCTGGGTACCCGCTCCAGCCCGTAAACATAACCGTCCCATGCGGAAATCCCCGGGTACTCCAGGTACCCGCTCCAGCCTGGAAACATGACCGTCCCATGCGGAAATCCCCGGGTACTCCGGGTACCCGCTCCAGCCCAGAAACATAACCGTCCCATGCGGAAATCCCCCGGTACTTTGGGTACCCGCTCCAGCCTGGAAACATAACCATCCCATGCGGAAATCCCCGGGTACTCCGGGTATCCACTCCTGCCCAGAAACATAACCGTCCCATGCGTAAATCCCCAGGTACTCTGGGTATCCGCTCCAGCCCAGAAACATAACCGTCCCATGCAGAAATCCCCGGGTACTCTGGGTACACCCTCCAGCCCGGAAACATAACCATCCCATGCGGAAATTCCCGGGTACTCCGGGTACCCACCCCAGCCCGGAAACATAACCATCCCATGTGGAAATCTCCGGGTACTCCGGGTACCAGCTCCAGCCCGGAAACATAACCGTCCCATGCGGAAATCCCCGGGTACTCCGGGTACCCGCTCCAGTCTGGAAACATGACCGTCCCATGCGGAAATCCCCAGGTACTCTGGGTACCTGCTCCAGCCCGGAAACATAACCGTCCCATGGGGAAATCCCCGGGTACTCTGGGTACCTGCTCCAGCCCGGAAACATAACCGTCTCATGGGGAAATCCCCGGGTACTCCGGGTACCCGCTCCTTTGCCTGGGTGTGTATGGTTTGTAACATTATTGCGAAATGGCCCGGGTTGTCAGCACATTCTAGTCTACAGATCTGGTATCATATCATCTTTTTTTATATCTTAGCAACAGGAAGTTTGTTCTGATTTATTTTTGATTTGTATTTTTTTCTCGCAATGTTTAACAAAATAAAGCTTAATGGAGTTTGTATAAAAACGCTGTTCATTGAAAAAAATGTGCAAGATTGTTCTGTACTTAAGAAATTATTACACTGAGACCTAATATAAAGCCTACTTTATAAAAATGTACCTATAGAAAACATGTTAACATTAA